GTGGGATGTCTGGTGCCATTGTTAAGGAAATGAGACCAAGGTGCACATTTAGATATGATGCTGATTTGCCATCAGATTAATGGAATGTGGTGCATATCTGAAAGGGGCTTTAGACATGGGGACTACAGTTTAAAGGGATAAAAGATATTTTGAACTACAGGTCAAAGAATTAAGGGACACTGAAACCTATTCTCTGTTTGTTGCTCTGGCTCTGGAGGTATTGTCTACTGGGGCGCAGTAAAATGCCTTACTGGCAAGCTGCGAGGAGAGTTGGCTTAAATTGTGCTGTGTAATCTTGTTACAATTGCACTGCTTGGCACACTAAGGTGTATTATATGTATGAGGGGTTGTTCGTGCCACAGTGTTAGTTGCAGTTAGTGTCAGTATCACTGCCTGTTACTGTTGAAGCAGTGACAGCGTTGGAGCATGGATACTCAATAATACACAACATGTACAGAGCTATTTGGGCACATACACACACACATACACACACACACACACACAGATTTCATTCGTCAAGATTATTTTTGCATTGTTAAGATCACATAGAAGACATTAATATTGCTTCACGACTATTTCAAACAACATTTATGAGCTTATCAAAAGTGAAACAATATAAAATATCTAATCATAAAGGGACATTTCTTCTTGTTTATTCTTTTCTTCCTCTTTTTCATCTTCTGTTTCCACTATAACACTTAGATTTTAGTTCTTAAGTAAGTCTAAGGAGCTGCTAAGATCATTTCATTACCCGAGCTTTTAGATTTTCTTTTTAGTTTTTGTTGTTTAAGCAGTAAGGATTTTTTTTTAGTTTTAGAGAAGAGAAAACAAACTATTTTCAGCTTCGTCATGAATAAAGATCCCTCTTAAAAACACAATCAATGGAAGCTCAGTTTGAGCTTGCGCTGTTGGAGCAGCTGGGATGAACTCATGGTTATGTGAACTAAAGCAGCACTAACCTTGCCATGTAGTATGGTAATGCTCAGCCTTGTGCTCCCCATAACTAGACCTTGAATCAAGTAGTTTATTTCAATAAATAAATAAACATGGTGAAGGCAGCAGAGCAAAGGCAAGGTCACAGCACCAGCTCCATCCCCGAAGATGAAGAAAGTCCACCAGCAAAATGCATGTCAGATCATACACATGATTTGCATTCATATTGCACATGAATGTTGTGTTTAATCATAATATATGAACACACTG